TTTGCCTTTCCGCGACGCATGAGGTGCGCGAGCGGTGGTCGATACCGTGTCTTGCTTGCGTCATAATGGTACACCCCTTTTGTCGAATTAACTAATCGGTGTGCTGTGGACTGTAGATCATATAAGAGAGATCCTATGGTGCTACTCGGATGTGAAGAAGGAAGGTCAAGGGAGTAAGAGAGGTCAGGCCTTTGCTCTCTTCCTTAGCCAATATTCAACGCACAATGCGTTCCCGCAAAACAATTGCAACTTATACATTTGAACGAGGAGGGCTGCCTTCTTGCCTATTTTGAGTAGTTTGGATTATCTGTACTTTTTCAACAGGTCAGCCTTAAGCGGGATCTATGTGGAGCTCTCAGTATCACTTCGACTGAAATGGTTCTTGAAGAAATTCTTTTGTTCTAGGGAAAACCGCTTGAAGATGACGAAAAAGCGAGCTCTTCTCCCGAGGGGACTCCACCTTTGGAAGCATCAGTGAAGAAAGAGGATGGTTAGTATTTGTAATGCATCGCTTTATGCTATCTTCCGATTTTTAACCCCTTTGGGGCTTGTTGCGATGAAAAAAAAAAGAATTTTGATTTAGTAGAGTTTTATTTAAAATTTTTTTCAAAACTATTTCTTTTCTACTTTGATCTGCGAAATTGTACATTCACCTCACCTTGCCGAATATAATGCTTGAAAATTGCGGAGTATGCATGTACTTATATCGCTGTGACGGGCTCCTATAGGAAGTACCCACAATGTTCCAGGTATTGCTGCTGCAATAGTGAGGGTGGGAGAGCCGCAGGATTCGAAACAGGAAATCCCAACGGCGTCAACTCAAGGTTAGTATTTTTGATTAAGGTTTTTTGTGAACTTCCTTTGCTTGTTTTTTCTATACGGTTCGACATTTTTACTTTTCATTTTGCATATTACATTATTTTTGTCAACTATAACCTCGGTAGTCATATTTCTCTCTGTTGCTTGACCACTTTCGAATCGCTTTCTTTTTCTTTCGAATTTTCTATTTTTTTTTTTTGATATACCGATGTAACCCCGTTTTGCGAATGCCATCCCTTAAAGCGCAGTTAAACGTAGGGATATTTTATGAATTCAATTTTAATAGTCTCAGCTCGAATGTAGTTGATGTCAATATGTGGAAAGGGAACCGTTCTGTTTTTGCACGGCTTCCTACATTTAGGATGTTAGTAGTTGCAGGATTCTGATGTCGAAAAAGGTCTGTTATGTTTAGCATCCCCAATCGATGACTGCGCACCACTTAGCTTTTACCGTTTTCCTCTCACAGAAGCTCCCAAGGTAGCGGTTTCTGCCTTATACTGTCCTACCCAAGTTGAATTCTGTTTCAAATCTTTTACCTTCTCAGAGTCACTGCCACCCTGTTAACATGGGACAGTGTTTGCCTTCTCTCCTCCAGAGAGGCAAATGCAATCTCATGGTGATCAGGGTGACATTGACTCCGAGCAGTGACCCTGTGTTGCTCACAATCACTCTATCCACAGTTCGTATCCACTTTCTTTCTAGTTACTTTCTTTGCTTACTTCTATTATATAATGATGGTGATAAATTATCATCTTACTAAGATACATAAGTACACAGAACGTTTAGTTTGCGCCGAGGCAGATTGAATGGATGATATAATGATATGTGCGCGGTTATCACTCCGCAGTGGTGATTACCTCTTTAGCCATCTTATGACTCTACCGGGTTGCGTGCCTTAGGAATAGCCACCGAAGCATTAGCGTTCATATTTGTGCAGCTCTATGGGCACAGCAACGGTCTTTCCTGTGAATTTCCCCTTGGCACTGATTTTCATAGTATATGTGTAGCGTACATGTGGAAGAAAAACAGCTGTGACGGTTGTTTTTCCATCCTTCTTCTGAATTGAAACAGTTTTATTCAGAAAACATTGATACTATTGAAAATGAAAAGGAAGCGGATGGATCGATGAGGAGCAACTCTAGTCGGCATGATGTCAGTGATCAGGAAATAGGAGTTATTAACCAAAATCATGTAGGTGAGCCAAGGGAGACTAAAGAGTGTATTACATACTTGTTTTAGTTTAACTGATTATGGTCATGTTTCGTTACGTTTCCCTTGACCATGCTCGTGTTTCTATTCACCCTTCTGTTTGTTTAGTGGTTGATCTATTCGTTATAACACCAGAACCGCTCTAGGAATGACTTATACTGTTAAAGGACATACTCGTTTACCTACCTAGGTCAAAGTTTTACCCTTTATTATATACCGAATTCATAACTTGCTCATTTACGACAGGTACGTCCACAATATTCTTTACCAAATGTGGTCTTTTGCTGTATAATTCAAAGAGATCTCTGCTAATGTACTGAAATGTGATATTGTTATTGTTTACCATGAATGGTCTTCACATTGCTCAAATTAACACTTTTTCTAACACTTATTGTTGACTGTTCAATAATCAAGTAAATATTTCAAATTGTGGCTTTCTATCTATTTTACGGGTGTGTTCTTGCCTTCATACATTTTAAATAATTACTATGTTATTATATTCATCATTACTTCGTATTTTACCTTTTATTCTTACAGACATGCCACCACTTGGTCGGCAAGTTCGGGTGTGTATTTTGTATGAATTCAAGTTGGGAAATGTTGCCAACTTGGCGTTTTTGAATGTCAATCGAGCGTTTGGTGAAGGAACTGTCTCAAACGCTGTCGTTCATCGATGGTTCGCCAGGTTTCAAGAAGGAGACGAAGATTTGGACAATGAACCAACAAAAGAATTAGACATCAATGATGAGACGATCGAAGAGGATCCAGCAGTCGTTGAAGCTCTTCTGTCTAAACAGTATGGAGTCCCGCCGGGAACGCTATACACTTATTTGGATAGAATGGGACGAGGCGAAAGGTTGCATGAATTAGAGCCTGAGGTTAGTAATTTTCAGCTCTTCATTTTCTTTTATGTTTATTTGTATCCTTGATGTTTTTATCCAGTTCCTNCTTGGTGCCATGCTTACCTTTGGAGTCTGTTGGTGTGGGAAGCTTCTAGATAACAAAGTTTCTAATTTGAAGGCGATTCAGTTCAATGGCGCTTTTTTGCAGGCTACACCACCTGTGAAATCTCCGGCCTTTTTCAGTAACTTTTCGTGGTAAATCAAGTAATGATGAAATGCATGTTTTTGAAGAAAAGTGCATGTCTTGATAATAGTTCTGCAATAAGCTGATCTTCAATTATCCTTGGCAGGCTTAAACTTTCAACTCTTTTTGGAAAACATCGCTGTTCTTTGAATTTCGGAGAAAATCAAGATTTTTGTGACTACATTCTACATTGGAGGTTCTAGTTTTTGATGAAGCAAAGTATCCGCTCAGTTAGTAGTGGGGTTCCTTTTGGCACAACTACGAAAAGAAACTAGTGTTTCGTAGGAACTTGGACTTCCCGGAAATCCAGACGTCCCGAGATCGATGCAGACTCTTATGGTGAAACTTGGGCTTCCATGGGGATCACAGCCGTCCGCATCATTACGGAGTCTCATCGGTAACAGTTTTATTCGAACTTTCATCGTTTAACCACCTAATTCTTTAGGTTTTACAGAAAATGGAACTGTTCAGCTAACGCCTTCTGTCAGAGAGAACGGAGATGTCAAACCAGAAGTACCTGATGGTTGGATTTTGCATTCCCTTATGTTAAAATAGATGAAGGATCTATATTTCCTTGCGAATGATCTTTTATTGATGTGTCTTCAGATTTTCCTGAAGAAATAACGGTCAAAGATATACTCACAGCTCATACCAAGTTGCTGTTACCGAGTTGGTTACATTTCCTATTTGATTGCTTAATAATATCGAAAACTAAACAGGTGTGGGTTTCTTTCCAGAGAAGACTTCCCCCAGTCAAGCAGCTTGATTTTGTTAATTTTTATTTTGCTTGATTTCTCGGAAGTTGGTTTACTTGGAGTAGGAGAGTATAACTGGGTCAAGTTCGATTCCAAATCCTCTAGATAAAACCTTGTTTATGCGAAGATGCAACTACAATCGAAGTTTAACTTTAAAAAAAGATGAAAAAGTGAAAACGGAGCCAGACATTGTGCTCTGTGCCCTTATATATAGTATTCATCTTCACTTCTTTTAGTGCTAATAGTTGTTTACGGGCAGTTCCTCTGTTTCCTCGGCAGTATGACCGTTAAACATTGAATTTAGCAAGCTCTAGCATGTGAGAACTTTCTTTGTCTCATCCGATATTATCCTGTTGCAGGTACTTCTACTCAAAATGGTCATAGTGTTGAGTACAATAAAGTACGGATATGTGACAATGGCAGGGAATATCGAAACACGCTGGCCGGTTCGTCTCACAAAATTAGCGTGGTTATAGACCCACCGTCATTAAGACCACCTTCAGAAGTGCAGAAGACCGCTCCTAGAGGTAGGTTCCTATTCATCTTTTGCTTTGTATGATATCTACCCGGCTATATTACGCGTTCACATCCGTCCCGTTTCTTTGCTGTGCTTGGAGAGTGCATTGCTTAGTTGTTGAGGCTGTTCTGTGTCGGTATATGAAGTTCCAGTTTGAGTATACATAAACGAAGCCTTGTATTTTTATTTTCAGTGGATACTTCGTAGGTTTATGCTAAAATTTTTACTTCGTTCAGTCAGTTCCATTTTTATGATCAAAATTAGTGTTTTCTAAGTTAGACACACTCTCTTAGTATACGAAATAAATAAGTGAGGAAGGTCCACAAATGAGGTTACGTGACCGCTGTGCTCTCGAATGACCAAGTAGACAAAGACATGTTGTATCTTATCAGTTACCCTACTAAGCTGCTCACTGATTATTTCGATCTCGTTTTTATATTTTCGTGTATACGCATACTATTTGCTCATAGGAAATGTTCAGGTTCTTCCGGTAGCAGCGTAATAGCGAGATCTCTTGCCTGCTTGGCTAAATATCGAAAAACAAGTCAAGAGTCAGAGAAAACGCTCTTGAATCCAGGTACCAACATTACTCTATAATTTCTTCTCGTCTCCTCTCAAAACCCTTTGATTTCTTCTATGTTTCACTGTTGTCTACTATTTCGTGCTTACAAATATTGAGCTGTTTTGAAAGTTCTATTCGAGGATGCTACGTAAAAATCTGGCGGCGTCTGCGAAACTCGCTGTGGGACCGCAATACCGTAACCCGCGCTATATTATTATTTTGTGTTTTCCTTTGTTTCAGTTCAGTCCCGTCTAGGAATATTGCAGACATGTCGCCAGGAAACGAAGAACGCCTCGGTTATCCTTTATGCGGCAAGGTCATGCTAAGAAGAAATGTGTACGACCATTTGAGAAAGATCCATGATTCTTCTGAACAAGAAGTCGAATCAATGAAGGCGAATATAAAAATCGAGGCTAACGCAAAAAAGGATGAATTCCACATAATCTGTCCTGTCTGCGATGATCAGTTTCTTGACCAGGAGAAATTAGCTATTCACTGCAACGAGGAACACACTCATAATGGTGCAAACGGCGAAGAACAGGACTACACTGTGCACGACTTGGATTTTGCTTCCAAAAAGGACTTCGAGGTGCAGAATACTGATCTTTGCAGAAGTTTTTGACCTTCGTCAAAAGCTTTAGTTTTTGCTGAGTGCTGGTCGAAAGTCAAAAATATTTTGCAGATATGGCTCAATGAAACTTGTGAAAAAACGGTAACATCTCTATACAAGAACACAAAGTCTGGCAATACTATCTACTATAGGTCTCATTCTCCTTGCCATATAATAGAAGGCGTCGTAATATTGTATTTCTGCAGATGCAATCGCTCCGGGAAATTCGTTAGCAAGAGTAAGCATCGAGTTCGTTGTAGCAGGAAGGCAGTCCTGCACTGTTCGTGTTACGTAAATGCTCGTTTCAACAGTGATGGAACCGTGGGCGTAAAGGCATGTTTTGGCCATGTTGGCCACGAACTGGAGCCGGCCCTTCTACATCTATCAGATTCGCAACGGCAGTATCTCAAGTCAATGTTAGAAGGTGAAGCAGTAATAAGGCAGGTCTGAGTATCGCTAATGTGAAGTTTTAGAGCATTCGCTGGACTACGTAATCAGAAGATGTAGAAAGGATTTCTCGGCTAAGGACTCGAGGATGTACTTTATGACGAAGGGTGATCTTTGGAACATCATCAACAAATACGGTCTCAAGCCTGGCTATCGAGATGCTGATGACTTGAAGTCGATTCAGTTGCGGGAAGCAGAACATAATGTAGACCATGGTATACGTCTCCTGGAAATGCCGACCTCTCCCAGTGGAGAGGACTTTGCTATGGGTGAGGCTAAACTTGGGCACTACTTTGAAAAAGGTGCAATTTCATAAGAGTTTCAGTTATAATCACACCTCTGCAACTGCATTGGTTGAGAGCGTATTCTTCTAGATAAAGATAAGATAAACAAACTCTGGTTATTAGTAGTTATCGTANCGCCAGATTTTTACGTAGCATCCTATTCGAGTAGATACCGGGTTGTCAGTTGTGTACATTTAGTGAAACCTCCTCCAGCAGATGAGATTAGCAATGGCAGCATCGAGAAGGTGGTGAAAGCTGAGACAGTCGAGCTACCAAGTGAACCTGCAGAAATGAAAGAACATATCGTTCCACTGTTCTGACTTTTAGCTATGATTTAATTGTACATTTTATGAAAAGCGAAGGCTCAACACTGATTCGATTTTATCTGCAGCCAATTTCAATCAAATATCTCATAAAACTGTGTAGAGGGCTTATGGGCCCTATTTTGTTTGATTTTTCAATAGAGTCAAGTCAAGAGAAACTTTGTTGTGTACATAAGAGTCTTCAGAATTCTGTAGTATGCTAACTGTTTGAATTCAAATCATTAGGGTTCACATTGAAAACATGGAACCATCTTACTATATTCTAACTTTTACTGTAACTTCTAAAACTTAAAAAAAAAGTCAGGGTTATTTATGAGAATCATTGTTTCAATTTCGTCTTTTTTGCTTTGTTTTTGTTAGTTTTTTTTTTTGATAAAAAACTATTTTATCTAGCCTGTTTCTTATTTGTGAAGGGTATATGACCAATTGTGCATGTCTTATACTGATGTGAAGGTTTTTTTTTTAAATGTTCCTCATTTCTTCGATATGAACCTTCAGATATGCGCCCCATTGACGAGAAGGTACGAATCTGTTTGTTATACGAATACAGGCTAGGAACGACTGCTGAAGTAGCAACTTACAATCTGAACAAAGTGTTCGGTCCTGGTGCCATTTCGCTATTCTCTGCAGCTCATTATTATGCAAAATTTCATCGTGGTGACATGAATTTGGAAGCGAAGCAGAGGGGAAGATACTCGACAGTTGACCCGGAAATTGTACGAGCAATGCTTAAAAGGAATCCTACATTATCATGCCGAGAAATAGCAAAAGTGTTCGGAGTAAATGGAACAACAATATCCAGGTTGTTGAAAAGGATGGAGGAAGGTGAAATGTTGCCGAAATTCAAGTCTATGGTAGGTTAGGCTGTTTACTGGCAATTTATCGACTTCACAACCTGATTGAATACTTCAGGTTCCAAATTTTAAATTGAACAGTAGTCCTTCTACTAGGAGATTCTGTGATCTTGAACATATACGTATATATTGGTCCCCTCCATTTTCACTGAAAGGGATGACAAACGCGTCACCGTGACAGAATGGATGCTTATCATATACATTGAGTTACTAATTTTTGACGCTATGCTTATCTGCGATAATCATTGCCCAAGCTTTCCCTAATTGTGATAGTTCTTCCATCCCTTCGGGTTCGGTTAACCCTTTGACGAGAATGGCACCCACCGGTGGGTGACACTATTGACTGGCACATGGAATATTGGCACCCAGTTTTGGGAGCCACCATACTTCCTTGGTTCTTACCAATTGCTAATCAGTAAGCCAGTGAAAGGTGGGTGGCACTGTCCCATTTTCTTCTGGGACTCTGCCACCCACCGGTGGGTGCCAATCGCGCACGGAAGGAGGAGAGCATGGTCCTATCGACTCGTACGTCGAAATCCGCATTGTCGTCAAAGGGTTAATTAGTACCAGAATGGCGCACTTCCCACAAGCATGGTCATGGATTCAATACTGGAGCGACATCTGCCTAGGCCAAACAACCCTTCCATCCCTGCACCGTCTGGGAGATAAAAGCGCTGACTTGTACATCGGCTGGCCACCGCAACTCATCGTACATAGAGGCACATACGTATTCAATACCCCACTACGATACTGAATGGAAGTCGAATGCATGGGCGCATCTCTCAGACGGGGTTGATTAACGCCCCAAGATTTTATCCTTTATCCTTTTATGATAGTTCGAGATTAATTTTGAGTTCGTTTTTTGGTCCGCCAATGTCAAACTCGAATGTGCATTTCTTTTCAGGCTATTCCTGCCGAGAAGCTCCTCGAAATGCCAAGTTCTGATCACTGTGAAGAATCACATGGGCTTCCTCAAGTGATTTTCTTTCCCTTTTTACCTTTACATAGTATTATAGAAACTCGCGGATGGAAACGTCTACCGTTGTGCAAGGTGAAGAACTGGGAAAGCTTTCATTTCAGCCGGTTCCAGCCGAGAAACTGCTGATAGTGCCAGGTCCCTGTCGCGAAGAGTCATGCAGTATTCCGAAGATCATACCAAGTGAGTTTTCTGCAGAACTGGGAAAGGGATTGGGAGTGATAGGCGCTTCTGCGCTTCTGTACTCGAAACTGCTCTTTTAATCATAGCTTTATTTGAAAAAATTATCTATCAGTGCTATTCTGTTTTAGCACAGCTGCATGAAGGAAGTTGTGCAGACTCCCATACTGAAGTGCTCATATCCATCTCTCCCTCCCAAACCACCTTGGACAGGAAAGAAAAGGCTGAAGGTGTGCATGCTTCCCTCCGTTATGTCCATAGTATACTGTGGTATTGAATTCCTTCAGAAAGTACGAGTGTTACTGTGACGTTGTCAAGCTCAGTGGAGGAGTTCAAAAAGGAAGACATTACAACTGTGGAATGTTCTAATCAAGAGCAGTTGCAGCTCATCAACGGCGATGACATAAAAGAGCATATTTACAGCCTTCACTAGCACGATTTTGCAAATGGTTCATATTGCTCCTCAGGGCTCTAATAGGTGATCTTCGTTTCTGACGGGTTCTTGTTTCGAACTCGCTGGTATGTTCATGGTTTAAAAGAGTTAACCATGTTCGAATTCCTTTTGATTTTGAACGAGATTTGACTCATGAATGGATTGGCTTGAGCCTTTCCAACATTACAAAACTTCATTAAGCTGATGTTTCGGCATCTTCGAACTCTCCAGAGCTTCAAATTCAGAAATCAATTGAGACCGATCCTCGCATAAAAAAGGGCAGTACTCAAGGCAATCCTCTAAACCAGTATGATCCGTGAACCCAACCACTCAGAGGGTGCATCAATGCTTTCGATCTATGAAAAAGGGGGAGAGGTCGTAAGTCAGCTGAATGATATATTGTAAACTTGGGTGAGTTTTTTCCAATACACTTACAGGTATGTACAAAGTCGCACAAAATTATCTAAAATGAAAACAAATAGAAGTGGTTGTTGATTTTTCGATTGGTCGAGCTTTCAGGACGTGTTCAAGGTTTTAGAATCGTATGTGGCTGCTTTCATAGTCCGCCGGCATCCCAGCCGAGGTAGTGCTGGAGGAGGCAGACGGTCGGTCGCCGCGGGGGACGGCCAACTCGTCTGTCCGAGGGTGTGCGTGTGCAAATGGCGCGGCGAAGTTCATACCTATTCTGACGACTTCAGCGCCTATTATTTAGGCCCAATTTTGAAGTGCAGTGAAATAGTAGGATCAGCTGACCTTACTAATTTACCCTACTTCAGATTTGGGCCCCAATGATAGGCGCCGGAGTCGTCCAAATTCTTGGAAGCGCTGCCTCGGACGCACGACTTGACACACACCCTTCGCCGGGGTCGCATCGCGCCTAAGCCCCTTGGAAGGGCTGAAAACAAAGAGAAAACAAGATCAAAAAGCAAACAACCAGGGGCTTGTGCAAATGATTTTTGATTTTGTTTTTCTTTGTTTTCAGCCCTTCGAAGGGGCTTGGGCGCGACGCGACCGTGTCGACCGACCGTCTGCCTCCCTCCTCCCCCTTACCACTACCTCGGCTGGTACGCCGGCATGCCGATGGACTATGAAAGCAGCCTGTATGTGCGGCTGTACCAACAAATGAAGACTTGTGTTAATGTTGAAAAGAGCGTTTCATTCATCCGGACTGGTCTTACACCAGTAACTAGTCCAAGTTGAACGAAGACGTTTTTCCATGGGGGAATTGGTCTTTGAAGTAACTACAATACCTCCTACATGTTGGTATACCCTCCCGTTTTTATTCTTCAGCAAAAAGCAATGAAAATACCGGTGATGATATGGTGTTTTCTCATCTCGCCTTGCCCTGATGGTTGGTAACGAAAGGTCAAAAGCATGGAAGCTGTAAATTATTGTTCATTTTTTCAAGTGTTTACGTTTATACTGATTCCGGTATTGCAGTTGTATTTGGTTTTTTGTTATTTCCTGGTGAGACTGTTTGTTTAACCTCTTTATGCAACTTTATTTTTTGTTTCTAAAAGGATTCGAAATTTTTCATTTGGAACTTTCTTCTGGGAAAGGCTGTGCTCCAGACTCTTGCTGTTTGAAGGTCTGAGTGTCTGAATTAGGAGCGTATTATGTGTTCGCAGAACCTAACTAATTTCGTTTTTAATTTCACTTGCTCATGCTAGTGTGCGCATTCATAGTACTGGCGTTCTGACGTCGACGTCCGCGTGGCACTATAAATGTTCCCGGTGAGAGCGGAAGCCGCTTAAAAAAACAAAACCGAAGTTATAAGTTTATCTCATAATTGTGTATATTGGCCTACTTTGTATTTTTGTGACGTTTTACTGTTTTTCGATACTGCCTTTGCGACGCTCTATGAAAAGCCGTCGTCCGTGTTCGCACATCACCTACTCTCTTTAAATCTATCCGATTTGTCTGCTTGACCTCTTCTCACCCTTCTATTTTTATGTCTCGGAAGCTACGGGCTCTAGGTCTGTTAGCAACATTCAACGTTCCCTCAGAAGCCACTTGTTAGTGACAGGTGGAGACTTCATTTAGTAGGTATCCTAGAAATTTAGAGTCTTTGGCACATTTTTGATGTGGATTTTGTTGCTGACCAATTCCTTATCTCCAAATCTTATGTTGTGAAGCTTGTATTGTCCTTTTTCTTTTGCGAGAAGTTGTCCTTTACTGTTCTAACCGTACTGTTTTCTGCAGAGTAAATATGAAAACTGCTTGTTTCCATGCCCAAGGTGAGGTTGTCACCCCTTCAGTATATCCTTTCTTCTATTTCATCTTCAATCGACTTCCCAGCTTTCCAGTTGAACACACTATGCTCGAGCTTGGCGAGCACCCTCGAATATGCATGTTATACGGATTCAAGCTCGGCCATAGTGCTAATGGTGCCTATAAGAATCTGATTCGAGCATATGGTAAAGGCTCAATTGCTCGAAGTACGGTAGCAAGGTGGTTCGCGAAATTTCGTTGTGGAAACGAATGTCTTGAGAATGCGTCGACTATTGGCTTATCTACAGCCATCGACGATGATGAACTTGAAGAGGTGATAAGGGAAAATCCAAAAATCACTCATACTGAGCTGTCGAAGCTGTTTGGTGTTGGCAAAACTACGGTATTCAACCATCTAAAGAAAAGGAAGGAGCAAAGACAGTATTCATCGGACACAAAAAGCGCGAGGAGGTTCGTTTCACTCATGATTTTCCTTTTTTTCTGCCACGACCTGAACGAAATTTATTCGCCATTCCATATTTGGAAACTATATTATTCTTGGGAACTATATTTGGTTGTATTTGATTCTGTAACGTCATCAAATGAATTGATTCATTGAAGAGCCGGCCTAAAGCAGCGGTTATAGTTTGCGCAACAAAAAGCTAGAAAACCAACTGGGAATTATATATATGCGGAAGTTTTTTCTTAAGAGCACTTTTTAATTAGATCTTTTAGCCTATCGAAGCTGCGCGGTTGATCAAAATCCAGAGAACCCAGTTACTATCCTTATACAGGTACTGTGTGAGTAGATAGGTTAATTAACTATCTAAACGATTCATTGATTTTGATTCAGAACCGCCACCTCAAGTAATATTTTTTCGAAGTCTAAGAAGACCAGCTGTGGGGCGAGTGAAACTGGCTGCATCGGAATATGTGCAAATTCCATTTATGCTAGCCGCTGTTGGAGGTGGTAGGATAGGTGAGAGAGGTTTTCGATGTTTCCCTCATAGGAATGGTATGCATTGCCTGTTCAAGCTGTGTTCCTTTTTTGGGAGTAGTTCTTTCTTGCACAGCTTAGTGATTTTAGAAGCAGCAGTGGCTGGTGATGAAGAAAACATCATCTGCATAAGAGCCACTGAAGAATCTTCGGGCAATGAACGGACGGAAGGTTAGCAGTAGGAAAGCCTCACTTTATTTTATGGTCTTGATTTCTATAATGTTTCGAGTTTCAGATTGTTCCTTCCATTTACTCAAGATCATTAATACAAAGTTTAAAGAAGAGTAGTTATACGTTGGTGGTTAGGAACGCGGTGGTAAATTGAAAGGCAATACGGGCCCCTACGAGGACTTGGTGCATTCTTCTGAGGTAGCACTTCGAATACAGCCGTAACCACTACTCCTAAATATCTAAACTACAAATGGTTAATGTGCAGTCAGTGTCAGCTAACTAGCGGACGGCTCTTTTTTTCGACAATACTTCAAATAGCAGAAGATTTGACGGCGGAATTTTTGTGACACTGTATTGCTTGTCATTCACGTCATCGATAGCTCAGAGTTTGCCCATGGGGTGTCCTATTATAGGCAATCTATTCATTCACAGAAGCCGGCTGTACTTAACGGCATTCTTCAAATGAATGGGTATTATTCATTTATTTTTTTAAATTTTTACTTATACCTTCCTATATTTGTGCTAATTTTTTCAGAACATAGCTAGTGGCGTCTCAATTGCATAGCAACTGCTTGTCCTAAGGAACCACTTTTCCGAGTATTAAACAATGGACGTGGGTCGTGGGACGACCGATAGCTTCGAAACGAAAACTGAAACGCCCGCTCAGGTGAGATAACATGAGGAAAGACTAGTTCGTTTGATATGACGCTTAGAGGCAACAGGCGCTGTGGGTTTATTCTTTGCAATCTTATGACAGGTCGAAAACGGCTACCTAGGTACAGAGCTTGAACGAATAAGTCTGACACTCAAGGATGCAACCATCGTGGTCTCGAGGATCAAGTCGGTGAACCGATCTGCAGACCAAATCCTCGAGGTCAACCCTGCAGTTGCCACCCGGCTTTCTTGTACTGATGTGAGTAGCTCGACTGCGATAGCGTTGAGGAAGGGTGTGGTGACGCCCTACTTACATCAGTTGCTGTTGGGAAATTTCCGATATTCAAGGTCCACGAAAATACCGGAGAATTAGGTAGGTGGGGGTCGAAAACGGGGTACGCTTCCTTGCTGCTCTACTCATGAGCTTCCTAATCTGAATGCAGGATTAGAGGCTCCATTGAGGGCCCAGTTTTTGAAATTTCATATCTTTTTGTCTTTTGAGTGTGGAAATGATCACGATCGGGCAGTATTATCGCTATATATTTTCTATTTTAGGGAGCGCTGATTCGTCTAGAGGTGCTTGCATTGTTCGATGTGTTCAAAGTGCCACGACGCTGAACCGGAAGAGGGTTTGGAAACCTACACCGTCCCCAGTGGGCATATGTTTAATTATTTCTGAGAACTCTCATTTCTTCGATATTTATTGGATCTTGCTCTGCTCTGCTCGGTTCCTACAACTGAGTTGTTTAGGACTCATCAACGATGAGCAGTCAGCTTCGTGTGTCGCTCTCCATACTGCTACTGTGGTACTTTTTAACAGTGATTCTGCATAAGTGTTCTCAGCAGATTTTACATTCTTAATTACTCAATCGTAAAAGTTGTGACCAGCTTTTGTGGCTGCTATTTATTCCTTGAATCCGGCTGTCCTTGCCTTCCTAATAGCTTTTATTTCAGCCATGAGCCCACACACTTACAACGTGACGTTATGATGCATGTATTGTTGCGGTAGAAATTTGTATTGCCGTAAGGTTGAAACGCCTAGTAGGGAACCTCGTTATTAAGTTAAAAAGATAAAGACTTTGGCGATAATCAATCCGTTTGAGGACACGTCCCCGTGTTCGACTTCCGCTCAGATTCGTAGCAGCGGGTCGAGTGGGTGCATGGCCTATACAATGGCTCCCAGTGGTCAGCCGATGTACGTGTCAGTGCTTTTGCCCTGCCGGACGAGTTCGGTACCCATTAGTCGACCTGGAGGGATGGAGGGCTTGGTTTGCTTAAGCGATGTTCCATCCGGGACGAATCCTAATCGTGTGTGATAGTGCGCTGATTTGTCACTACACCACCTCCACTCTGTACTTATATTTGACTGCATTTGTAAGGAATTCTGTCTGTCGTACTAGGCTTTTGTTTGCGGCCATTCCTAGGATGGCTTTCTAGGGGTTCATCGAGCTTCTTTCGAGATTTCGAGCGTTGAACAGTATCGTATAAATATTTATTCTTTCCTACTTGTTAGGGAACAAAAGGTTTATTCGACCTTCGATCTTTTTCAGTGAACTAAAACAATTTTCAGATACACATTTTTTCTTTTATCGCTATTTCAGCAGCTATGCGGCGACATATACATGCGGATGTTCGGTTATGCGCTCTGTATGAGTTCAAACTCGGTCACAGCGTGAATGTGGCTCTTAATAATTTGATACGAGCATACGGGGCCAATGTGTTGTCCGCTCATACGCTCCAGAATTGGTATCGAAGATTCCGTAGAGGTGATGAAAGCCTAAAGCGAGAGAAGCGAAAGTCGCCAATAGATGAGTCGGAATTGAAGCGGTTGATTGAAGAGAATCCGCGCATCAGAATGGCCGATCTGACACGACACTTTGGTGTCTCGAATAAATCGATCAGGCATCATATTACTTCAATTGCACAGGGTGAATTCCGAATATACATCAGAACTAAGACGGTTGGTTCGATACTACTTCAGTTTTCTTTCATGATTGAGTAATTTGTAAGCTCCATAGTTCTGAAGGCTTCAGTCCTTTTATTTCCAACAGAATACGGTCGCTCACATTTAGAAGGTTGGATACCCACGATTCGCGAAGAATCGGAAACTAAGTAGCGATCTTCTAATGTATATAAAGAGGCGCTCATAGGGTTGTTTTCTCACAACTCTATGAGCACCTCTTGATAATCCTTTTACTTTTGCTCTTTTGCTTTCCCTTGTTTACCTTCCTTTGGAAGGGTCTACTTCTGAGTAGTGAACGTTTGGTGGACCCTGGCATTCCATTTTCTGTATAGCCCATCAGTCCGTGTACTTGAGCTATTATGAAGCACATGCTTTGCTAAGGGCTTGTTAAGGGGGGAGGGGGAAGGGGAATCGTTCGAGCGGAGGTAGTACGTGGTTTAAATTAATTTCGGCGGCTCTATGTTACTCCTATCTTTTTTTAGCGTCTTCTCAAAAAGAGGAAGAGAAAAAAGAAAAAGGCGACGACGATGAACGACGTCAAAAGTGGGTTTCTGTTCTAAATAAGGTCGATTAGTGAATACGGAATTATTACTACTTGTAATTTCGAACGATGGTCATTAGAATGTATCCGGTTCGGTGTTGAAGGAGTGTCAAGTTACTTTAACTGCGAACCTATACAGAGCCAAACTTTAGAAAGTTTTCTGCTTCCGTTTGGAGGCACAGCACCTTTGATTTTTATTTAATCATGTTTGTGTTATAATGTGGATACGATAGCTACGGTATGTGTATACTGTAGGCATAGGGGTAACCTGCTGTGGAATAGAATTTTGTACTGACGCAAATTGGGTAATAATTAAGGATGGTGAGCTTGATTCACCCGGCTGAAAATACGTCTGTACTAGGAGAGGTAAATATACCTGGTGGAGTGGCAAAGCGCTTCTGGCTGGCTACTTTTTTTTGCAGCGGTTTTGTTATCCGCGCCCGAAAGCCGCTACATGTTCTCTATATTTGTGGTTTATATGTGATTTTCGTGTAAAAATTGTTTGATCGTTTAGGTGCTGATGAATCCCCGGACAAGAACAAGGGCGATGCCTTAGACAGTGAAAAATTGACGTGTGAACAAAATGGTGATGTTGAAGAATGTATTACATACTTTTTATAACGGTACTCACTTTTTTCTATAAGTCTAAGTTATTTTTTTCTTCGTCGTAACACATATGTATTAGGAAATATTCCGAGTCCACTCCATTTTTTGAGGCATTTTGGAACGTGCGAGTTATTAAGTAGCAATTAATTACTTCTCATTTAATATGTTCATCCTCCTGAAAGAATGAAATGAAATTCAGTGGACGATGCCTCTATGTACCTGCCCATATGACACTCTTCACTCCTTTCACACTCATTGACACAGCAGCTTGTTTTTGAGATGTACTGCAGAATTTATGACGATGGTTTTCTAATGATAAGGAAAATTAGGAGGGATTCCATGGAATTGTACTCTGCTTATCCTTCTACCGGTTAGCCGAGAATCGGTAAGGTTTAGCCACAATTGAATCAAGAAGGTCTCGATTGTCTACAATATGTAGCAATAATTGCCTTGCATAATACTGTTATTGTTGGAATCTGTTATTTTGCTTGTTAACTGTTTTTCTTAGTGGGAGGAGCGATCTGCCACCATGGGTGACTCCGCCCCTTACTTTTGGTTTTGACTTCTAATTTCGATTTCGGCAATCGTTGATGTTAAATATAGCACAATATTTAAACGAAATCCTTGTGTTCCCGTGATATATGTCATGTCTTGATAAACCTTTGCCATTTTTGCTGGAATACTTTGGTTCCTTATGTGTTGTGCAGTCCAGTGCATGGCGTATATCTGAAGGCAAGATAAGCGAGTATAAAATGCAGATCAGCGTCACGGAGCTGTTCTATAGACGATTACGGTAAGTTAAGCTCTTTGTTATTCAAATGTAGTCGATTTTAATCGAGTCAGATTTGAGAAAGCTAAGACCATCACACTCTGCGTCTCTGACCTAATCGATAATCTTGAAATGTCATTTACGCTCTTTCTATTTTATTTGATACCTTTGCGATATAACTTCTACTTATTGTTGGATGTGTTTTATTTCAATATTTTACACACAAATTTTTCGTAAAAGATATGTATTTACAAAAATTCATGACGTCATGTGTAGCTCTAAACAGCTATGTACACCTGTCGTTTAACGCAGTGATTTCCTTCCATTGTAGTATTGACCGTTTGAGTGGGAACCTGGAATTCTATCAGTTTTTATATCGATCACCTTTATTTACTTTTCCATGATGACGAACTTGTCTGCAGGTCGAAAATGTCCAAATATGGTACGTTGTGGAATGCGTAACGTTTTCTTATTTTCCATCCATACATCGAGTTCTTCATCGGAATTCGTTGAGCAATAATGATCGCTGAGATCAAGAAGGGTGATAGTTGAGCCGGATAGCAGTGCACGTGTCACATACCAATCATCCATCTACAAATGGTTTGTTATTGATTGATTATTGATTGCTAGTATTGTTGATTGATTCCAGTTCACTTAAAGAATTCTTTTTTGTTTCGAAGTGATAAAATCTTCACTGGAAAACCTTCAGCTTTCCTAGTATTCGTGGTATTTAGTTTAGTTGTCATGAATTGGCTTTTGCTCAGTTTTAAGTTTATTTGCGATCGAGTAGTACTCAATTTTTCGGACTGCCGTCTATCTAATGGGTAACGAGACTGGCACTAGGTACGGTATTCGATGCAGCACATCTGTCACGCAGCTCGCGACCATGATTAAGCCATAAGCCAGCTTATGGCGATCATGGTTTCCCATGCTCTACCGGTTCCGCCTCCTCGAAATTCCCCTACCTGGTTAGTTGATATGAGCTTTGTCACATGAAATCGCCAGTTTGCCTGCCAAAAATCGAACTTTATGACACACAAGGGTTCCAAGGGAGACGGGCAGTAGGAACGTTTTCAGTAATCGATTCGCCGCGCGCGACTGTAGCGGACCAATCGCCCGACGTTATTACAGCTCTAGCGTTCTTCATTCAGCTCAATCGATATACAATCCTTATTTTAGGCATGATTGTACTTTAATTCCTTTGTTTCTGTATTTCTTACCCGCTGCTGCATCTTGCTATATTCCTTCGCGCGCGCCGTCCCTCTTGCCGCGACGCGACAATTCCATTCCTACTGCANATCCTTCGCGTAGGACAGTATTTAAATTCTCGATCGACTAAAGCGATGTGTTACAGCATGTTTAAAGATGGTTATTGATCGACGATGCTTTGTCGTGTTCTGAGTGTCATTGTCGACTGTCTTCATAATTGAGCGCTTTCTGTAGGTTTACTTCATAGTTTATCAAGTTGTGTAGATATGATTTATGAAAAGTTAAATCGACCGTTATCAAATCAAATAGGAGCTTGTTCTTCGTGATTTTTGTCGATATTCCTTGAACATAAGCAAATAGATGCTTTTAATGAAAGCTGTTTCAATCGTGTGATTAATGTGATTGATTTTGTTGTCAATCAAATATCATACTTGTTCAAGTTACTTGTGTGTAATGACTTAGCAGATTTTCTCTTTGTGCGAATTATTGAGCAAAAATACCGCTTGGCTTTCTCAAAGTATGAACGGGATTCTGTTGACTCACCCAAAGAAATTGCACTCGTGGAATATTTTCACGCATATACCGTAATTGATCACCGCTAAACACGTAAGCCATTCCTTGGCAATATGTGCCAAGATCAGATCCACTGAATTCTTTTGGTGAGAGATACCTGAATACAATTTTTTTTGAAAACTAGCTACTCAATGGCTTTCATTATTTATCTATTGCAGAAATTTCAAGCTATTGAATCATGGTGAGATTGCTTTTTCTGTTAATTTGTCCATTCTCATTGACCGAAGCTTTCTAATTCGCCACGTATTTGGTCAAGCCGCAGCGTGACCGCACGCGATATCAGCCCGCGCAGTAGGCAATGGGTCTGGGTCGCGTGCGGTTGCGTTGCGTCTTGATAGAGTGCAAGATAACGTGTGGGAAGTTTCACCAAAAGACTTGAGAACAACTGTTTTCATTCACCGGATTCTTTCAGTACGGCTTGACATTAGCGTAAATTGATGCAGCAGCGTTCATCAAGTTGCGCTCTTTAATGTTATGGAACATGTATTATTTAGGGATCATAGAAAACAGAAGACTATGTATTCGTAACCGTTGACTTTTAAGGAACTTCATGACTTCAAAGGAGGAACCGACAACATAAACGTCGCTCACCATTTTGATTCTGGATTTCGTACAACACTACCATGTGATAGCACTCGGCATCCAACTGTTCGTCTCGATGTACCGTATCTGAAACATTTTGTATTTTTTCATTTTTACCCCATAAATACTTTGTTCAAAGTGAAGTATGTTGATCGGCAGTGTGCGGTATTAGTGGCTATTTGTCTTCTGGTAGGAAGACGCAGAGCGTATTCCAGGTGCGGTTATTTCTTTGGTTTGGCTATTTTGAGGGGTCTAGTACTTGCTATTCAAAGATCTTGCAGATTTTTTGGTGGACTCCTGACCATGGACCTACTTTGATGGCATGATAACGAACCTGTAGATCAGATACTCAATCCCAACGCGATCCACCATGACGTCGTCGTCGAGCTTTATGATAAAGGTTGGTGTTTCCGGACATGTTGACAACAGCTGAATCCATGCTTGAGCCTTAAAACTTGATATATGAGAGAATTAGTGTGGTCGCGAAAAGATTCTTATAAAGGGCTATGCTGCGACCCATTGGAATCAGTATGTATGTTCCACTTACGTCCCGGGTTGGGTACGAATTGGCGTTCGAAAAACTCTTTTTAAAAGGTAATGACGATGCGGTTCTCACTCTCTAAGCTTGTGGGGATGTTGCGGCTTTCATAGGTCCTCAACCCACCATTTCTCCTCTTTTTCTGACAGACCATTTGAAGCTTATCGATCGATACCTGATCGATAACTATCGATTGCAAGCTGTCGCTCTACCTACCTTGTAAGTTATGTTATGGTAGTGGTCGATCGTATCAACCTGTACTATATCGTTGTATTTCTCTGCTTCTTTTTCAATCTTGTCAGTAGGTTCAACGGTACTGCCGACCACGAAAATACGTCTGGCATTAAGCTGAAACAGTTTTTTCTTTGCTAAAACTTCTTTTATCCTCAAAATTAGACCAACCATCTTAATCCAACTATCATCGAGTTGTTTCCGTTGGAATTGTCGTTGTACGGTGTTACGAACATCCGAATGGAACACAAACATCACAGTGGTGTTCGCATCGCACAATGAGTGTGGCAAAAGACGAATCCTAGGTGTAAACGCTCCACGGGGTTCGCGTGATACAGGTGGCGAATCGGCGGTTGGATGTACCTGTGAGTAAAACTCTTAGAGATTGTTTAACTTTATAATTAGTAGCAATTAATGAATAATTTGGTAAAATTAGAGTTAGATTGACTGCAGGTAACCCCTAGCAGATACTTTCAGGAATACTCGAGGAAAGGCTTCCGTAATGGCCCAGTAGTAATTCTGTGGTACAGTATCTGTATATACCCATTCAAATCAAGATGCATTGAAGTAGTGGGCGGCGCTGTCCTCTTAATGGGCGGAGTTTAAACAGTTGACATTTTGTGTCAGGTGATTACAGTGGTCCTTGTGGATCGCTTCATTATAAGGGTCAAAATTATATATTTCATGATCAGACACGCAGAAAATTTTGTATACTTTGCTTCTCTACTCATTTTTTTTTNTTTTTTTTTCACTCACCGGATGAGTATAGAGTGGTGACGGCAGACCGTCGCATGTTAGCTGTTGTGAAATGTTATTTTTCAACGAATACCATAAGCAAAATAGTACAGCTGCTATTACAATGAGTCGAAATGCATAGCGGACGCACATTCATACAGATCTGAAATTCATACACTCGTTTATTGATTGATCGCTGGCGATTTTGATCTTACGGTACATGGATAAGCCGACATTTTATAGTACTGGATTATCAATGTTCGAGAAGTTCGATTATATGATGTTCTACCAACTGCGAGTGGATGGGTGGAGAAACCGCGCACTTCACTACAGTTTTTGATGGGACTTTTTTCATTTGGTAGTTGTCTCGGATTAATGTCTCCGTTGACACTGATGTCAAGTAACATGCTAGCTATCTCACCCGTTCAATTAGCGCGGTCAATGCTTTCAAGGAACAGAGAACAGCGACTGGTGTGAAGTCGGCGTTCAATCGCGCCGCTTGGGCTGTTCCTTCATATACCGTGACGGCTACCCGAGAAATGATAAATGATAGATGCCCATAAGGGGATTTATTCAGGCCAATTACGTCATGCGCAAATGGATCAGTTGAAGCTGATCCGAGATCTTACCGATCGGTCACCCGGGTGTGGTGTAGTGTCGCGTTGCGGCAACAGACGCGCGAAGGAAGGTAGCAGAATGCAGCAGCAGCTAAGAAATCCAGGAACCAAAGAATCAACAGTAGAGTCATGCCAAAGTAATAATCGCATAGGGATTGAGCTGTATGAAGAACGCCAGAACTGTTATGGCGAGGCAAATGGTCCGCGACAGCCGCGTGCGGCGGATCGATCACACAAAATCGTTCCTACTGCCCGTCTGCCGTCAAAAACCCTTCCTATACCGAAGCGGGATCAGCTGAGGAATCAAGTGGACAGTGAGACGCTCCTATAGCGTGACTGTCTGATTACCTACACTGGTTTGGTATTGGATCAGGCAGAACCACTGTGAACATCTAAAGCCCCCATTTGGGTGCCATCTTTTCTACGAATTCGCAACCAATTGGAGAAGCACCTTATGACAGATCTGCTAGCGTCCGTAACATTGACACCGGGTACTTTGACCCATGAAATTATGGATGTGAATGCACCTTCAGAGTTAGTAGGAGTTTCACCCTGTCCAAAGTCGTGAATTCGATCAGAGATGCAGTCATCTGAAGAATGAAGGAAGTCCTTCTGCAGTAAATAGGATTTTCGAGACCACGGACAGGCTACCAATTTGAAGGGGAGGCCCCACAACGAACTTAGATTCATGCTGCATGAAATCATGAGTCGCTGATTTGATTTGATTTTGCGAGTTGTATGACTATGACAAGGAGGGCTTTCTCACAGCACGTACTCACAAGCTTCTAATTATTTACTGCAATCCCGTTACGAGAGAACAACCAAGTTCGGAATCCGTCAAAGAACAACCTCCATGAAGAATACAACAGCAGAGCCTTTTACTCAACGTGTGCTACAAATGATAGCAATTCAATCTTGGCGAATTTGTAATGGGATCATATCAGTTTGAAAGACTGTAGCCTGGCACCAAGAGGTATACCAGTTGAGTTCATACTCTCTGTTCTTCTTTGTTATATGTACATGTAGGACTCGTCACTCTATTCAGCACAAACAGAAGAGTTACAGTTGATAATGCTGTCTATGGATGCTAAACCTTGCGGAAACAAAGAAGAATGGGAAGTCAACTCGTACTGATGCAAGCATAATGAATGTTAGCAGCCCTGCCGTTCAACTATCCTGAGTTGACATAGTATTCAGTGCGAGAAGTTGATGATTTTGACAACGCACAGGTCGAGTAACATACCGTCGAAAAGAAAGTGACTAAGAAGGTAAATACTGTGTGCACGGATATCTCGGAAACACTCACTGAACCTAACTGAACAGAAATCGTTGCAATCTTTCTGGCATTCGTTACTTATATGGTGCGCTGCCGTGCAGGAAGAGGAGAGAAAACAGAAGCAGAGCAAAATGGTTCTGCACGAAGTGAAGGAGATGATATGGAGATACTAATGTCAGCTTTGAACCTACCCGGAATGGTTTTTTTTCCAAGCGGATCTCGCAAACCTTATCTCCAACAGTGGAACTTGTTAGTGAATACTCAACACATTCAAAAACGTTTTCTCCCGATTATCCGGTAAAAGGCTGCTGAGGAATTTCAGAAAGCAAATAGCTTGAGCGAGAATAGATCTCAAACTTGTTGTCTTCCGTTTTCAGAACAGAAATGAGGAACTTGGTGGATGCTTGTAAATGCTTTAGATCTACATAGTAATCAATTGCAACCCATACAAACACAATGATGGTAATGATTGAAATGTTTTTGTGCCGTGCGAGGTTTTTGATAGGAACAATTTATTTAATCAACNGCCTAACGTTTTGACGCAATCGTCTTCTTCAGAGGCTTAAATGCAACTCGAGATGATTTGCACAATATCGAAAAAAAGTGTCATCCTCCCCCGCAAATGTGGCGACAAATTCAAAAACCCATAATTTGAACAATGACTCGCCAAGGTTCTACCGCTTGAGCGAACAGAACCGCTGGCTGTCACCACAGGCGATTGTGAGTAGCGAATGAGACTTATTACTGTCTCCCTTATGCTTGTGATAAGATCTACGTGATTTTCCTTATCACAAGTATAAGGGAGACAGCAATAACTCTCATTCGCTACAGACAGTCGCCTGTGGCGACAGCGCATTTTGTCCGCTCGGTAGATCCTTGGTGAGTCATACTTCAAATTATGGGTTTTGAATTTTTCGTCACATTCGCCAAAGGGGTGATGGGCTTTTTGGATATTGTGCAAATCATCTCCAATTGCGTTTAAGCCTCTGAAGAAGACGATTGCGTCAAAACGTTAGGCCGTTGATTAAATAAATAGTTCCACCAAAGAGCTTCGCACGGCACAAAAGCATTTCAATCATAAACAACTATGCCGAGGTCAAAGCAAGAGAGAAGTTGGAGACTATTTAATGATGGGAATGATTACGGTCGTTTTACACAACAAGTAAATAAGGTCGTCGAATCTGCAGAACAACGACATTCAGCTGGAACCTGTGCTTCGTAATCCGTTGCGCATCGCTACATCAGATCGGAGATCTATAAATCGTGCTACATAACTAGTAGAGGTTTTCTGGAACCACTGAGAAGAACTGGATGCGGTTATTTTCTCTATGTGTGAGTATCGATCTGGGGACCGAATCCCGGATCGGATCGGTACTGGCCTTTTCCAACCAAGACCTCCATCCGTTGCTGTCGCTGAATCGGTACCAGACTAGTGTGAAAGGGCAAAAGCACTGACTTGAGCATCGGCAGACCACCATAAATCATTGTCTCGGTTATATACTTGTTCAAAACTCGAATCTGAGTGGAACTCGAGGGAGAGGTACAACAACTCCTATCGAGTTTCTCCAGCTCCATCGAGAGACGATAAGCAAGAAGTTACCGTACTTGTGAGGAAAGGCTCACAAGTACGGTAACTTTTAAGCTAAGCGCACAAGTACGGTAACTCCTAAGCTAAGCGGCTAAAACACGTCAGTTGTCGGGACGGAGGTCATAGTCGCGATTTTTTTGGCAGTGGTTTTCCATTCCTAGCAAAACGTTACCGTACTTGTGAGCACTACATCTTTTCCGGCTGAGAGTTGGTGGAAGAATGGATGAGGCAGTGCTGGAAGATATTTGAAGGATGGGTTAGATTGGAAAGTTGGATTTGAGCGTTCCGAGAGTGATCAAAGCCGAATTCTTCGGCGACTTTGGAGGGAGTGGGTAAAGTTGACTAGGCCCAGTAGGCTATGGTATAAGCCAGATAGGTATCCAAGTATACTCAAAAGCTAATTGAACCACAAAAGCATGACGCATTTTGGTGGATAATCAGTGCTGTACGCAATGATCGTTTCTGGAGTAATGTAATGATTCTCGTCACGGTTTGTTGGCTTTCAACGTGGGGAGACACGGCTGATCAGAGTTTTTGAGTTGTTACGGCCTGCTTTTGGAGGTTATCCTATGCCACCTTTGTGCACCATTCCATTGAATTCATATAAATGTGAGCTCCAGTCTCCATAGAATTTTGAAAGGATGATCACTGGTGAACCAGTCGGCGATCTAGAATGTAATATACCTTCAGAACAGCTCAAGTGTCGCAATGGGTGGAGAGCGGAGGTAACTGAAGGAGAGAAAGCCTTGGAATTTTGAGTTTACCGATTTATAGGCATTGGCAAACAAGTCCCTGCATTTTATTGCTTGGGATTTGGACTGAAGACCTCAAATCGGAAGAAGAATACTTCCAAAAAGGTCGAATCGATAGAAGGTGGAGAAAAAACAATGGATGATAAGTGTGGCTCTCGAAAGACCCGGTCAGGGCCCTTTTGACGCTGAACTTATGGGCGAGAAAATCCATGTGGAAACCAGGCACCAGTAGTGGTAGAGGTTGATGCTCGGAGTTTCGCGACTCTCGGAAGCTCTACTGAACTATTGACCGGAAAATTTTCTCCTCGCATGTGTAAAGATTAGACCGTGGTCGACTGGATGGGGACGATCCTACTTGCTAAGTAGGGCTTCAGAAGGCAATGAAGGAGAGGCTGCTGTGAGCAGGGAGGGGTGCAACTATGTAGTTCCATTAGAATCCAAGCACATGTCATGGTGATTGACCATCGACGGTTGGGAAGAATATGATGTAGCCCAATTTTCATCGAGAACTGTTAAGCTGGCCTGGATATGAAAAAGAAACTGGCTGGATGCTTGGGAGAACATCTCATGTGAGCTCCTGTCCTCGGCTTATGTGGTAACCACCACAGAAGTGAAGAAGGCAGGTCCGAAGACGGCCAGGCCCTAATGAGCGTGCAAAACATATGTGGAGCCATGTCGAGGTCGTTGTTATGGTAGTTTTTGTACGAATAGTATGTATGTGATTTTATGGATGCAGAAAAACTCTTTCGAGGTCGTTTCAAGTCATCTTAGAAGAATGAAAATAAAATTGGTATCCTCAGCCTTCTTCTCTCCTCCTGGAAACGACTGAGAGACACGCCATTGCGCTTTGGAATATCGAATTTCGTTCAGGTCAATGAGTATTCTAACTTTGTCGAGGCGAAAGCGCAGCCAGCCCTCGGACATTGGCCCGTACCGGCTCGAAGGTGCTGTACATGCTTATTACTCTTCAGCTGTATTCATGTCCAGCAGAGCGGAGGTGGTACAGTGGCGAGTGGGTGACTTTCACCCTTATGGTCCGGGACCCTTTCTCTTTTTCCGGAGTTGATGACTTGGCATTCTTCTTGTATGTGAAAATAAAGGACTGACTTGTACATCTCCTGGCCACCGCGAGTTATTGTATTAACCTTATGGACATTCAAAATGTCGCCACAATTCCACATGGAAGCCGTATGCGGGGCACATCTCAAAAATGGAAGTGATTAACGCCAAAAGATTTTGTCCTTTATCTTTTTACACATAATCGCGTTGACTTATAGAGTTGAGTGAGGTGCGAGGCTGTGGTTGAAAGTAATGGAAGCCCCGCTGTTGCTGGGGATTCGGGCTCGATAGTAGCACTCACAACCCCTTCTGAGTCCACCAGTTGGCACTGGATTCATCTAGGAAGACTGAATCGCTGGATTGGCTATGAATATTTCGATCGATCGGAGATTTCCGAACTCACTCCGTATATCGGCTGCTCATTCGAACGTATCTAATTTTTCCGACTGAAGATCAAGTAGGTGGCACGACCTCAAAAACTGATCAAGGTCGTTCGCCTCATTCATTTTATCCTTAGTCAATGAGTTCACGGGCCGCGGAGCGGAAATTGCTCTCTCAGTGTTGTGATCAAGGTCTGTAAAAGGTCAGTGAGCTGTTTAATCAAAAGAATATGGAGGCTAAGAACATGCGGTATTACGGCGAATTTCCATTCCCAA